ACTGCACGGCGTCACGTCCCACTCTTCACACTCAGATCCGGCACGCGGAGAGTTCAATAGCCCACATTGATAGCAGCAAGTTTATCGGCAGGCAGAAGGCGTCTCACTTCCGTAGTGAGGTCGCGTGTTCGGGGCCAGCATATCGCCCTTCATTGTCTTACTTGCTGCTTTCGCATCCGGATGCGACCTGCCAAAGTGACCGCTGATGCGCCATTTCGAACTTCCACGTCTCCGTCAGGAGCGTCAAGAGGCTGAGCTGCAAGTGGTACAAGTCACGGTTCCCACGTGTCGTAGTGTTTCTGTTCAGCCCATCACCCACTGCAGAGTTTAGGCCTTGTTGCGTGTTCATTCGAAAATGTCTATTCCATATCTTTCTCTCCACCATTTGCCCTGTGCCCACCCATGCTACTTACATGATTGAACTGTTCTCATCCTCTGAGCAGTACAGCATTGCATATATAAAGGGGTCATTCTGTAGAATTTTCAGCGGGAATTGTAGTAGTAAAACATAATTAATAGTTTTTATGATAAACTGGCAGTGGCTTCCATGAACGTGCCTCCTCCCCCGACACACACACAGACTGTTCCCACTCGCAGAGCGCTGTGCGGAGGGCGGTCTTATGAGCCGCCGGGTATTGGAACGCCTCAGCGAAAGAATTTGATGACGGCGAGTTGTTTTGAAATGGACGGTCCTTCACACTGCGACAGGGGTCGAGCGAGTTCATTCGTAGGACAGAACCTGTTCTTATCAGCCGAGCTTTACTTACGGTCGATGCGTCCTTGTTTAATGTAGAGTATCTTGAATAAATAGAAATAGGGCGTGGAGGCTGCTAGAAGATGGCGTGATGAGTTCTTTCCAGAACTTTTTATTAGGAGAAAGATTTGGGATGTGGTTTATAACGAGCACTCGTACTATAGCCGAACCTCACACCTTTCATTCACCTCTCCTTCAGCATTATTGTGATTGATATTAAAGGGAAATAATTGAAAAGTCTTAGTGTAAACATAACAATTACATTAATCTACTAGGCTAGTGTAAATAAGTTTTAGCCTAGGAACGGGCAGAGATATGAGCCGGCATACCGACTGGCTACGGGCTGGACGACGGAAGGGTCGGAGTTCGAGTCCCGGTAGGGTCAAGAATTTTCTCTTCTCGTCGTCCAGACCGGCTCTGGGGCCTACCCAGCCTCCTGTCCAATGGGTACGGGGGACACTTTCTCCAGGGGTAAAGCGGCCGGGGCGTGAAGCTGATCACTCACCTCCAACTAGTGCCGAGGTCAAGAGAATATGGATCTATACATCCATTCCCCCATACGCCTTGACGGCGTAGTGCTTAATTAGTTAAGCACAGGGACAACTTTACCTTTTTACGGGCAGAGATACAGCGAAGACAAGGACAGTACTGGGAAAGATGGTACACAAAAGTAAAGTAAAGTAAAATGGTACATATGACTGCAATGGAGAATCAACAAGGGTGACAGGCTACGACTGCAGAAGTGAACTAGTAAATACACTTAGCGCAGTGTGAGTAAAATCCACCCACCCGTATGGGCACTAGCGAGGCGCACATGCATATGCGGCATGTAATTGGAAAAGCAGGGCTCGGGTTCAATTTCCGGCAAGGGCAAGTGGTTTTTCTCTACTCCACAGCGTCCATACCGTCTCTGAGGCACATCCAGCCCCAGCAATGGATACCGGAGGTTCTTTCCCTGAGAGTAAAGCAGCCAGGCCATGAAAGTGACCACTCACCTGCATCAAGAACCGAGGTCAAGAACGGTGGAGCTGTACTCCCACTCCTCTGTACGTCTTCTTGGAGTAGTACTTAATCCACTAAGCACAGGGGCACCTTTACCATATTTTACCTTAGATGGAAAAGTTATAAAGTGAAGTTCCGTCCTGAAATTGTTGCTGTGCTTAATTAAGCGCCACGCCATGACGACGTGTGGGAGAGTGGAAGTATAACCCAGACAATGCCCAGAAGTAGGAAGTTCGAAGGTTATACTCCAGTCATCGTAACATTACAGCTGTTCGACTCTTGCCTTGTGTGGGTCTGCTCGAAGCGACGGATAATGTGTTAAACAGCTCTTCTCCCCTGGCGTCTGTAGGAGAATGAAGGGCGTCGGTTTGAAGCCACTTAAGTTGCTCTCTTGTCCCATCTTTGCTACAGCCGCACGTGTCACACTGCTTTAGTGGCTGTAGAACTCACCTATGCTGACTTTAACCTTGCCTCCTCCCACTTCGGAGATGTGTCGCGTGGTCAGCGCAGCGAATCCCCACGGCCGTTAATCTCGGTTTTCTAGACTGGAGCCACTACTTTTCCATTCAAATAGCTCCTCAATTATCCTCACGAGACTCAGTGGACCCCGTTCCAGATTCGTGTAGCGCCTTCAACCGGACCATGAACCTCTGGATCCGCAGCCAGGAACTGTGACCTTTGGATCACAGAGGCGGTCAGTTTAAATACAGCAGTTTCTAATAATTACGGGCCTCCAACTTAATGAGCGGTTACAGATGGTCTGCTGTGGTTTGGAATTGCTCTGTGTACACGAATTCCGTGAGCTAACGGAAATGCATTGAAATGCAGCGATTTGCTTCCGTTAGCATGACTAGACTTTCTGGACAGACAGCTGCGACTCGCTAATTGACTTTGCTGATAGTCCACTCTCTGTGTTTACTCACATTTCTGGCGCATACCTACCGGAAAGTTTTAAGAATTCGAGTGATCGCTTTCGCCATGTCTGTCCGTCTGTTCGCATTTAAGACGTCGAGAACAGCAGAACGAACGTCGGTTGACTTTCATCGAACCGCCCTCGGGATATCCCAGAAGACAAACTCTTCGCACTTGCTGCTTGTTACAAAGGAGTGAACGTCCCCCTCTTTTTCGCCCCAATTTTATTTCTTTCCGTGTCAGTGCTACGACATGCAGCTCAAACCGCATTGAAGCAATAACACTAAATTTATTCCTGTAGTTAAAAAGAAAGGTCTGGCATAGAAAACCGAAATTAACGGCCATGGGGATTCGTTGCGCTAACCACGCGACACCCTCTATCCGCTAAAGTTGGCTTTAACTTCGCCGACAAACGGCGGTCGCTCGGTCGGTATTGTTCGCTTGCGGACTAACACCACGGAGTGGTTGTGGTGGTAGTTACAAAGTAAGGTTGGGAATGAGGATTCGAAATGTATCCTACCGCAATACATTTGCAGATCACTTTAAGAACCTTGGCTACCGCGTGTGTGTGGTGGTAACTCTGTCGGCATGGCGACAGGCTGCAGACTCGACGGCCAGGTTTCTATCCCCGAGAGGGGCAAGAGATTTTTATCTTCGTAGCGTCCAGACCGGCTGTGAGTCCGACTCATCCGCCTATGCAGTGGGTACGGGAGGCTCTGTTTCTAGGGGTAAAGTGGTTGGGGCGTGAAGCTCATCACTCACTTCGATCTGTTGCCGAGACCAAGAATGGCGGAGCATATCTACTCCCCCATACGTATTCATGGTGCGGTGCTTAATTAACACGGACACAATTACCTTGTATGTGGACATACACGTATATATTTGTGTGTGTGTGTTTGTGTGTGTCGGTCACGGTAGCCGAGCGGTCTGAGGCACATACTGTCTTCGCTCGCTCGGAAGGCGGGATCGTGGGTTCGAATCCCACACAAGGCATGGATGCTTGGTATGTGTATGTGTTTATTCTGCTTGTGTTTTCCTATGTTTAGGTACAGGCCTTGCGACGAGCTGATCACTCATCCAAGGAGTCCTGTCTGTAAAATGATTATGAAACTGAAAAATCAGAGGCCAGGGCCTAAGGGGGCTGTAGAGCCAGTGAAAAAAGAAAATTGTGTGCGCGTGTCTGTAGGCACACAGACATTGACAAAAGTACGGATTGAATGTCATATCTTCCGGTGTTCTCTATCAGATCCGAGGGAATCAGGGAAGTTGCATTTGTGTGTGTCTGTAGTGGAAGGACCATAAGTAATTTACGTATAACGTAACATTTGAGGCGCGTTCTGATACTTCATCTGTTGCTTCCGCTCCCATGGCAACCGCGGTGTGCTGTCGTCAGTGGAGTAGGAAACAGCGAGATCCCCCCCCCCCAAAGAAGGCATTTGGGTCTTCATATAAGATGTCCGTTAGTTTTGTCCCATAAACCAAAACAAACTCCGTGGCTTTATTCCACAGGCGAACTTACTGACTGAGAGACCGCCGTTTGTCGGCGAAGTTAGTGCCAACTGTAGCGGATAGAGGGTGTCGCGTGGTCAGCGCAACGAATTCCCACGGCCGTTAATTTAGGTTTTCTAGACCGGAGACGCTACCTTGCATTCAAGTAGCTCCTGAAATATCCTCACGAGGCTGATTGGACCCCGTTGCAGACCCACTACGTTTCAGAAAATCTCGTAGTGCCAGGAATCGAACCCGGGACCTCTGGATCTGCAGCCAGGAACTCTGACCACTAGACCACAGGTTCCATTTTAACCAAAATTGAATTTTGTAGAAAAATTTTAATAAAACTCTGAAATGTAAAAGTGTCACGAAAATACGTCCAGTGGGAGTCGACAGACAGATTCTTTTCGCAGTAATTGAGAAGCGAGTTCTAGGATGTTGAAACGCTTGTACCCTCGAGAGCGCTGTGCAGCCTCCCGCAATAGCCATATCATCTAGCACGATCTCTTAGATGTACAACGCGTTAATTGTGTGCGAGCGCGCACATCACGAATTCCATGTCGCCAGCCAGCGGGTCATGAACCCTAGAAGTCGGGCTCGCGATCTCCCAAACTAAGCCTGCAAGCTCCATTACCTTTCTGTGCAACCTGTTTGCTAGAACGCCCAAATATCTTAGCAGGTGTACCGAGGTGATACATTGGGTATGTTAGAAATAATCACGCTGTATTCTTACGGAACATGTAGGTCAATGGTTAGTTCACCTGGTCGCCGTTTCGCGATAGTGGCGCTTTAGCCGCTTTCACCTGCCGGTCTCTTGAAGGAGTTGGCAGTATGGCTGCGACATGTGGTAGTTGTGTTTCGCATGTGAGCTGTGAGAAAACTGCGTTCTGTTTGCGGTTTGCCTGAGTCTGTCATCATGGGCAAGATCTATCTGGTACGTGTTTTACTTTATGGCTGTGCACTGTGTCAGTGAGCTTCGCCGAACACCGCTGTTTCTCAGTCGAGAAGTTCGGGGATCGGCCCTGAGCTCAGCAATCGCGGCTGAAGATGTTCGTAGTTTCGTTCCGTTAGTTCTGATCGATACTGGAATGGAGTCTTCAAACACGCAACAAACGCTTCCATATTTTACGCAATTGTTATGTTGTTAGGAAGTCGTTTTGATGTGACATGTGACACCCAGAAGAGGCGGCACTAGGTCCCTCTGAAACGTCGGTAACGACCTACCAGACTTCACGACGTCACATCTGCCGTGAGAACCTTGACATTCTGTTTCGTTTTATGTGACTTCTGTAGCAGAAACAGCTTCGTCAGTTCAGTGCAATCGCGCCCAGTAGCAGAGCTACCTGTTGACATGGAAAAAGGATTTCTCCAGTCTGGAGTGCACAGTTGTGCCATCTTGCTTTTCGTATTCACGTTCTTGCAAAATATTTATAGAGTAATTAAAACGAGCAGGATCGGGAGGAATGTAGCATGCATTGAGGTGAAAAGTGTTCAGAACACCGCGACAGTAAGAGACCGTGTTGGGTATACCCGGCTCACACTCATGTAGAGGTGGAATGATAATATTAATATGGATATTGTACAGCATTGGACTGGGTTCATCTGACGTAGGATAGAGTGAAGTGGCGGAATTCTGCGCATGCGCCAAGGAACCTTCGGGTTCCATGAACTGAGTACCTTTCAGGGCCCTGTATTCGAGATATGGTCGGTTCGAACCTCTGCCGGGACACCGACTGTTCTGACAGAGGTATCTCTTGATTTTCGTCTTTCCTCCAGGAGAGTACCACGGCCTCTTCCTTTCATATCCTTTCCAGTTCACTGTTGGCTGTGGTGAAGTCACTCGGCCCTTCACAGTATGAGGTAGTGGCACTGTCGTAATGTCCACTTCCTATGCCTCATTAGGCACCACACCATGAGGTACTGTGTAGCTCCATGCATTCCTAACATCAGCACTTCATGGTAAGTTTCATGCTGCAACCCCCTTTTCCCCGGAAAAGTACATAATACGTAATTTATTTATTTACAATTCGATTCCAATGAGCTGGGTACTAGTACATGAAATGGTGAGGAGCAGGATTTGGCTGATCGGATTTCTTCCCGCCCATATTACGTTACCGCGCTCCTTTTTAATCACAGAAGTTCAGTGTGTGTGGTTCATAGTGCCCGGAGATGTTGAACCGTGGATTCGAAGCGCGTGTTTGTGTTGCTGGGTCGACCAAGTAATAATCATAGTTCCGGAATCTGGACTCCCCACACCCACAATATGGATGGCGAAGACGGAATTAATTGCAGTTGATTCCATGTGTTTCGCTCGTCACAAGTTAGGTAATGTCCGGTGTCTACGCGAAGTTATGATCCCTGAACCGCCTGACACGTTACTTCATGCAGCCGAGCGGGTTGGCGAAACGGTAACGAACTAGACTCGTATAAGGGAGGTACTTATTTCCATTTTCGCCCAGGACACAGGCATCGTGATTAAGGTTTATCTGTGTTTTCTTCTCTTTTTGAGAATGCCTGAGTAGTACCTAGATTAGGCCACGACCGCTTTCTCCGAATTCGTAATTTATCTCTTATCCTGCCTCCAGATCTGTATACTCCAGCTAATGACGTCATAACATTACTAAAGAAAACACGTGTCTTTTACATCTGCTGTGTGAGAGAAAGTATTGTCACGTGTAGGGTGGTACGCGTGACGAAATTAACGGGTTCTAGTTCGGATATTAGGATTTATTGGCACTTCGGTTACAGTCTCTCTTAATTGCAATTAATACAGCGCTATCGCTGATTTACACAATTTTCAGTTCACCGTTGCACACGCACTAGGATCTCCGTCTTCACTAGTCGTCTCCTGGCAACGGATCTCAACACAGAAACTAGCACTTCAGATCACCATGAAGTCTTCTTGCAATTTCTTGTTCACTCACCCTGGAACCTCGGAACTAAACAAAAAACTCTCCTGGACTCTTAATTACACTGCAATGAACTGCTACAACATGTCATCGTTATATAGGCTCCTCACGAACAACACAGAAAACATATCACGTGATTCTTAGCCAGCGAGTTTGTTGGCGCGCTGACTGTTCCCTAGCAACGAGCCACATAACATTCCTCACTGAGACACTTCATCCATTGTTGCACGTTGGAATGTGTTTACCGAGCCGTCGCCTAGAAACGCTTTGAGCAAATCCGTTACAGTATAAATTATAGCAGAAGAGTAGGTGACAATGAAAAGTCATTAATGGAGAAATGGGAGACTCTTCGGAGGGGGGGAGCAAGGTTGCGAGGCTTTCCCCATTCTTCCGATAAGGGAATTATGAAAGTGAAGACATAGAGGGTTAGAAGTAGTGGCTTGAGACAGATTGCTGGGAATTTTGATTTCCTGTTGGTAGGAAATTATTTTTTTTTCTAATTATACATTTCATTAATTCACAGAATGGAAATTTCACAGTTTCTGTCTCAACCCACTACTTCTAACCACTGCAGCCCCTCCCACAGCCGTCCCAGACGGTACCGACGGGCGGTCAGCACCCTTGGGAAGCGCCTATTTTGGTTCTTCGTACGTGGGACCAGTTGTGCTGACACAATTCGTGTTTTTTGTCATCGCTGCATTACTCCATCGCAGTATAGCTGACGGGCTCCAAGTCCCACATTATTCCTCTCAACGCTGCATAACCCATGGAGTTGGCTGAATGTGGTTAAACAATCGAAGGACGAAAGAAAGTAACAAGTCGTGTATGCCGCTTTTCACCATCAGGAGCGCTGGTGTTGCCCGCGAAGTCGTGCATTGCAATTTGTTCAAGACAGGAGCTTCACGGGAACTGAACCTGCGCTTGCAGAACTGTGCAGCGTTGCCGCTGCAGTAGTTCATGAAATCGGAAAGAAAGTGAAGGATGCTAAAGGCAGAGTTTGCATCTGTCGGAAAGGAGGCCAAGGTCCTTAGAGGATCACAGAGCTGAGTGGAGAGCGGCCATTGTTTTCCCCAAAGAGCATTAGCCGGATGGTTACTTCAATGGAGGCGCAGTGTGTTCCCTCTTATTCTGTAAACATTATTTATAGGCTACCACACAGATTAACACCTTTCTTGAATCTGGTAGTTGCTCATCTGGTAAAGAGATTGCCTTTTTGTGGAACCCAAAAGTTCTTGCTCATGACTGTGAGCCAGTTTTGAGTCCAGTTTCTTGTAATGTCCCATTTATGCCAGCTTCCTAACTTCTATCACTTAAGGTTTCTACAAGCACAGTTCTGTATGCGTTTCTCATTTCTCTTCTACGGGATGCACGTCCCTCCGATCGTATTCCAAACAAACTCCGTGGCTTTAGTCCGCAAGGGAACTATTCCGACCGAGCGACCGCCGCTTGTCGGCGAAGTTAGTGCCAACTTTAGTGGATAGAGGGTGTCGCGTGGTCAGCGCAATGGATCCCCACGGCCGTTAATTTCGGTTTTCTTGACCGGAGATCATATTCCACTGTCTTTAATTAAAATTTGATGACTGGACAAGAAATGAAATTGGTTTTCTATGTGTTTATCTTCTTGTACTGTCCCAGGTGGTCCGGTTTGCTTTCCGATTACCTAAATGAAGTGACGGCTGTCTCACGCTGAGCAAGTCTCTGCTTCACAGAACCAATCAGCCAACCTTGGAACACAGAAAGCTGACGCGACGCTTTACTGGGTCTTGTCTGGCCTTTATAGTTCGGTTTCCTCAGATTGAGAAATGGTTTCCATGAAACCGACAGCTGCATCACTTTGCAGTTTTGCGTTCCAACCTCGAGTCGGGGCTCTTTTGTTCCAGACAAATCTTTGTTGGTTTGTGTTCGCAGGATGAGAAGTTGCGAGAAAATATTTTGGAAGAGGGAACTTCACTTACGTGAAGCTGAACAACATTAAATGAGGGGTTAAGGACGTTTCGTGGCTGTGGTAAAAACGTCCTGTTATCACCAGCTCCTGCACTTCTCGGCGTATTGGGTGGGTGGCGGAACAGAAATGATATATTAGGGTCCTCATCTCGGTGCTCACGCATGCGTACAAAATTAAGATCGGAAAGCGAAAGCAGAAGTTCAGATTAAGCCAGATAGACGGCAAGGAGATGTGCTGCCTGCTTGGCTTCCTCTTCGGCCCTAAACGTGGAGGAAGTACTTTCCTCCGAAACGTCGGTGAACTGCTGGACCACACGGTGTCACATCACAGAAGGTATCACTCGCCTTGTACCAGCAGTTGTCACAGAAGAACTGGTCTTCTCCGTCCCGGCTTGTGGCGACTTCCATTTAGCTTTGTGATGGTTTCGCCGCGATGGTGACCATTCCCTCTACCCCCAATTGCTACGTTTGCTATCCACAGTGTTCCTTTGTCACTACCTGCAGTGCTTTGGAGTCGGTTATACGACAGGACAGGACTGCCTCTGTGGTCTAGTGGTCACAGTTCTGGCTACAGGCCCAGAGATCTCGAGTTTGATTCCCGGCGCTACAAGATTTTCTGAGAAGAAATGGGTCTGGAACGGGGTCCACTAAGCCTCGTAAGGATAATTGAGGAGCTGTTTCAAGGAAATAGCGGCTGCGGTCTAGAAAACCGAGATTAACGTCCGTGGGGATCTGTTGCGCTGACCACGCGACACTCTCTATCCGCTAAAGTTGGCACTAACTTCGCCGACAAGTGGCGGTCGCTCGGTCGGTATAGTTCGCTTTCATACTAAAGCCACGGAGTTTGTTTTGGCAGTGTTGCAGCAAACAGTGGAGTTAAGCCTTCTGATTTTGGTAATACCCGGTTGGTTGTTTTAGAGTTGGATATGGCCTTCACGTAAAGTGGGTTCAAGGTGTGAGAGCATCTCGAAATTACTTGTCCTTGGTTCATTTAGTGACGCTGTCGGTGTTCCACACTGTGTAGTGTCGAATAGTAGTATGTTTGGCAAAAGGTAAAGTTGTCCATATGCTCAACAAATTA